GATTTGACTACAATATTTTTCAATGTTCCTGAAATTTCTGATGTTTCTCCATATCTTTTGTATGATTCTGTTCCTCAAACATCTCATTTGTCTTCTGATATTTCTATGGAGCAACATCATCTTGAGTCCAGTTCTTTTTCTAATACCCAGGAAACCTCTGTTTCTGATAGTAATTCTGGTAATGATGGAAATAGATTGGATCAAATAGTTGATTCTGAACACATTGATAGACCGACTAGGCAGACACGAACTCCAGCTTATCTTGAGGATTACCATTGTTATTTGCTCACCCATTCTCATCCCCCTTCTTCTCCATCCACCTTATATCCTTTATCTACCTGCTTATCTTATGATAAGATTCACCCTCCATATAAGAACTTCATTTTGAATATCACCACTTCTAGTGAACCTCGAACATTCTCTCAAGCTGTAAAATCTGATCATTGGAAGGATGCTATGTTACTTGAACTGAATGCTTTGGATAGAACTCAGACTTGGACTGTTTGTTCACTACCGAAAGGGAAAGTTGCCATTGGATGCAAATGGGTGTTTAAGATAAAGTATAATCCTGATGGTAGTGTGGAGAGACATAAAGCTAGACTTGTAGCAAAGGGTTATACTCAGCAAGAAGGGATTGATTATTTAGAAACTTTTAGTCCAGTGGCAAAGATGACATCAGTCCGGTTATTGTTGGCATTAGCTGCTTCTTATAATCTTTTGTTACATCATATGGATGTTTCGAATGCTTTTCTGAATGGAGATCTTGATGAAGAGATTTATATGACCTTACCACCTGGATATGCAACACTTAAGGGGGAATCTGTTGATGAGAATTCAGTTTGTAAATTGCAGAAAAGCTTGTATGGTTTGAAACAAGCTTCTAGGCAGTGGAATCAGAAATTAACACATGTGTTAGTTTCTGCTGGTTACATTCAATCTCAATCTGATTTCTCGTTATTTGTCAAGCACAAGGATAGTTACTTTGTAGCTGCTCTAGTGTATGTGGATGATATAATGATTGAGATTGCTAGTAACTGTGATTCTTTGGTAAAGGAGCTTAAGAAGGTGTTGAGTGATAATTTTCAGATTAAGGATCTTGGAGATTTGAAATACTTTCTTGGTCTCGAAGTGGCTCGTGCGGGAAAAGGATTGTATATTTGTCAAAGAAAATATACATTGGAGTTGCTTGATGAGTTTGGCATGCTTGGTTGTAAACCTGTTGCGTCACCTATGGAGTTGTCACAAAAGTTGTCTCAGGATTCTGGTGATTTGTTGGATGATGCTTCATTTTATAGGAAGCTCATTGGGAAGCTCATATATCTTTCAATTACCAGACCAGATATATGTTTTTCGGTGAATAAGCTAAGTCAATACATGGCTTGTCCACGTTCTGGACATCTCCAAGCTGCTTATAGAGTGCTTAGATATTTGAAGTCTGATCCAGCTCAAGGTTTGTTATACAGTTCTGACTCGGTGAGTAAGCTCAGTGCGTATTGTGATGCTGATTGGGCGGCATGTCCGGATTCCCGACGTTCTGTTACAGGTTATTGTGTTTTCTTTGGTTCGTCCTTGATATCATGGAAGGCGAAGAAACAAGTTACTATTTCTCGGAGTTCTACTGAGTCAGAGTACAGAGCTATGGCACAAGTTTGTTGTGAACTGGTATGGATTCATTCGCTTCTGAAAGATTTGCGTGTTTCTATTCCTTTGTCGGTTCCTCTGTTCTGCGACAATCAGTCGGCAATTCATAGTGCTAACAATCCAGTGTATCATGAGCGGACAAAGCACATTGAGCTGGATTGTCATTTTGTTCGTGAACAATTGAAGTTGGGATTTGTTAAGCCATTGCATATTTTCGGGAAGGATCAGATTGCTGATATCTTGACGAAGTCGACGACGGTTGATCATTTTCGGTCTCTTCTGTCCAAGATGGGTATTCATCACCTGTATACTCCATCTTGAGGGGGAGTATTAGGGAGAAGAATTTCTCAGCGAAAGTGGCAGAGACGAAGGTTGAAGATGAAGTCCGGTTATTGTCGAATTTCATTTTTTGGTTTAGACTTGGTTCGATTTTCCGGTTTCGTGTTTAGTTGCATTTTTACCATTTTTGCCCTTTATTTGAATTTTTTTGTTTTTAGGCGCTCGATTGTTTTCGAGTATAAGAACCAAGTTGTTTTCATTTTGAAAAGATTAAGAGAAAATTTCCACAGATTCTGTTTTCCGATTTCAAATTCTGAAAGCTTTTGAATCCACACAATATTTGCAATATTGTGTGGCGTTTTTTAGCCTCGTCTTAGCATCATTGCCAATTACAGCTTGTAACCAGGGGCTAATGGACCATATTCGTTTTATATTCGCATTTTTATTTAAAAGTGATGAACTTCTATCTCGAAAACAAAAGACACGAACCAGACTAAAATAAGTTATAATGCTTTGATAATATTGATATATCTGAAGCTTTGAGGGAGATTTCATGGAAGAGAGCATCCATGGCTTCGCTTCGGGGAAATGCATAAAAACCCTGACGACGAAGGGCCTTTAGTAGGGGCCTTGAATACTTGAGCTAAAAAAAAAAGGGCTTTATTAGATTATGAAATATTTGACTTGGGCTTTTGGAAATTCCTTATTGAGCCACCAAAATTGAATTGGGCCTTTAAATTGGGGCTCGTAATGGATCTTACTAGGCGGAAATATTATACTTGGGCTTTCAACCGATCTCATTGGGCCTTTGAATTGGATTTTTTGAAAAAGCCTACCCGACAGTGAAATTAAAATTGCCTTTAATTGGGCCTTAGTGGGCCAATGAACCATGAGGGCAATGGAATCTCTCGGCACCCTAATGGCCTATTAAATCTTCAAAATTAGGCCTAAGAAAGGGCCTTTTTAATTTTTTTTATCATGAATATTTAAGGTGGGACTGGTGTTAACACAATCGCCCCCAATCGCAGCGATTGCGACTTCTGGCGATTACGGGTGATTGAAAGAGTGATTGGTGAAATCGTAATCGCCTGCAATCGCAACAAAACATCAATATTCTAATCGCAGCTAAAAGATTGCGTTACGATAGCGTTTTGCAGCGTTTTGATTAAATGACCAAAATACCTCTAATATTAATTAGTATATATATATACATACATATCATATTATATATATAAAGAACTTACGTATGTGTATATATACATAAAATATATAAATACATATATATATATATATATAAAATACATATATATATACATACACACATACATATATATATATATATACACAAACAATCATATATACATACATACATCTATATACACGTACACATATATACATATATATATACACATACATACATATATACACCCACGTATATATATAAACATATACATACATACATATATACACATATATATACACATACATATATACACACACATACATGCATACATACATACATACATACACATATATATATACATACATACATATATATACACATACATATATATACACAAACAATCATATATACACATATACACACATACATACATATATATATACATATGCATATATATATATACACATATACATATATAAATATATACATACGTACATATACATATATATACACATGCATATACATACATGCATACATATACACATACATATATATATATACATACATATACATATATATATATACATACATATATACACACATACATATATATATATACATACACATATATAGACATATATATATACATACATATATTTATATACTTAATACATATATACATACATAAATTAAAAAAATATATTAATAATTTTGTTTGGTATATATTATGTTTTATATTGTTTGGTTTTACCAATAAATATTTTTAATATTAAAATTATCTTTCAAAATAAATTAAATTAATAACAAAATAATATTTTCAATTTTATAATTAATTATTTATAAATTTAATAATTATTTGATATTAAATCATAGTAAAAAACTAATTAAAAATATTTTAAAAATGGTTAGTATTGTATATAATGATGTATTTTTTTGTAATTTAAACCAAATCGCAATCGCAATCGCTGTCAACCAATCGTTCTAAATCGCAATCACTCGTAATCGCTACCAACAACAGTTTTTTTACCAATCAGTACCAATCGCCTAGAATCGCCAGCAAACGCATCGTAAACGCCTGCAATCACCGCGATTGCGATTGCGATTCCACCAGTCGACACCTTATAGTAAGGGTTCGACTGGTTGTACCGCAGCGGTTGCGGTTGCGGGTGGCAGCGTTTTCAAAACGTTTGATAGCGATTATAAATGATTAGTACTGACTGGTTGAAAAGTTGTTGTTGGTAGCGATTGCGCGTGGGTGCAGTTAGAAGTGAATAGTTCATTACGGTTGCGGTTGCGTTTTGATATAAATTGTCAAAAAAAATATTATTTAAAAATATCATAACACTAAACAAAATCATCACCAATATATATATTAATGTTTTATATAATTTCTAATAAAAATATTTTAGTTTTTTTGTCAAAACGCCGGAAACCGCTACCAAAACGCAAGTTGGAAGCTGCGATTCAACCAGTCAGTTTTTCAATCGCCCGCAACCACCGAAAATCGCAACCGTTCCATTTGCGGGTGGCGGCGGTGCAACCAGTCGGCCCCTAATACAAAGTTTTATGGGCTTACAATAGTTCAAAATCTTTTCATACATTTGTAGTCTTCTCCTCCTATTTGTTTTGGTTATTTATATTTATAAATATTATGTTATATCAAATCAACCAGTCAGTTTTTCAATCGCCCGCAACCACCGAAAATCGCAACCGTTCCATTTGCGGGTGGCGGCGGTGCAACCAGTCGGCCCCTAATACAAAGTTTTATGGGCTTACAATAGTTCAAAATCTTTTCATACATTTGTAGTCTTCTCCTCCTATTTGTTTTGGTTATTTATATTTATAAATATTATGTTATATCAAATGTTTAATTATAGCTTTCATCAAACACAACACAAAACAAAACAAAAAGCTTCTGATTTAAGACACACAGACTCACCTTCTGACACGACAGAGAAGAAAAACAGTACAAAGAAGACAAAAGAAATTAAAACCAGATTCCAGTGATGATTAACCAATTTCATCCAGAAAAACATTTTTTTTTATTTTATGTGCCCACAGTTCAATGCCCACTTCGAAATTCAAGAGTTGATCTTCCTGCAGTTCTTCCTGATCTCACCATTTGATCCCGTCAACGGAGAAATATTACCCATCTTGACCATCGATTCAGCGAACTGCTCGAAGAACTCTTCCTGATCCTCTGCATATTTCTTGACAAGCTCTCTCGCTTGCTGGCTGCTGGAGAACAGAACTTGGTCGGAATTCAGCAAACCCTTGTTGTCGATAAGGTTCTTGAAGTAACTGTTGTCGAATTTCGCGGCACTGATGATGTCCAGCACGAACAGGTTCTGGTCTCCGCCCGATCTCGGACACCGCGGACGGAGCGAGGCGGCGAACGACTGGTCCAGGGTCGAGTCCGGTCGCGCATTTCCGGATTGGTTATACAGTCTCTGTCTGAAGCTTGTGCATCTCGAGAATCCAATGGTGTGACTCCCTGTAAGGAAACAACCAGATCAAGACAAGAGGGTTTAACGTAACTTGAGAAACAAGTAACCCTCCTGTCTGAAAACGAGTGCTTCTGTAATGAAACTAGGGTTTACCCGAGAGAGCGACGAGGTCGGTGGTATCGAGTCCTTGACGGTTAAACTTGGAGAGAATGGTCTGGAAAGTGTTGTTGGGTGCGGGGATATTGTTGTTAGAGCCACTCAAGCTCGCTCCTCTTGAATCCCTTCTCCCCAAAGGAACCTTCCATGTCGGTCCACCGGTCTTTTTTTCGAAGAAGAAAAGGTTAGTAAATGCATTGTATTAAGCTCAAGAATCAAGATTTTTAGCTCTGAGTTAAGTGACTGACGAGAACAGAAGAGTCTCTGGCGGCTAAGGTCAAGGCGTCGGCGCAAGAAACAGTGTTCGGACACTCT